TACGCCTATTCACAATATCGTGTTGCATTAAAATATTTTGTCAGAAATGATGGCAAATTATATATCTATATGGTCACCATTTTGAATAAAGCTCAAATTCATATTTCTCAGGTTTCCATAGTGAGTTTCACGCCCCAAAATATTCTAGTTTCATTTTTTGATCAGTTTTCGCATGTTCATCCTAGTATAAAGCAAATTTATGTGAGTTTTTTGGTATTATTCCCCAAAGCAGTGGAGACAACTCGCGACATAATTTTTTATTTGTCCCTTTTCGTACCAAAAGTCGGTGATGGTCCAGAAAATTCTCTGTAAATTTGGACAAAGAAGGAACGTTAGGAGGAAAGGAGATATAACAACAATCTGAAAACAAGACGATTAATGGCGGCGAAATAATTTTGACTCGGGAATATCCGAAAATCTTAGCAACAATGAGCGAAAATTATTAAAAATGGTTGGAATGGTTTAAATGTAAATATCCCACAAACTAGTAACTTAATTATCGTACTTACCACATCAAAAGACAGTATGCTTTGACTACGCTTGATTTGCCTTCAGCCAAGACTGATATAAACCAAACTTTGTGCTTAATAGAGCACTTATCGAGAAGTGCTTTCATGCCTTTTTTATACGAATTCTGTTTATTATCTATGTAATATTTTCTATCAGCAGCCATCACATGTGCACTTCAGGTTATACACTCCTTTTGTAAAGGAAACAGATAGTGCTAGTGAGAAGGTACTAATGTCTTTGGGGAATGCTCTTGTCATGCTTTGTGTCGTGGTATTCATGACGGTGATACTCATATTCTTTTACAAATATAGATGTTATAAGGTAACGTCCCCCTATCATGTGCAACACATGTTTGAACTCTCGAACTTCAGGTCATCCACGGCTGGCTTATGGCAAGCAGTTGTCTGTTGTTGTTTCTATTTTCTACTATATACATACAGTAAGTTGTCCTCTTTTTCAAAATCGCTTGATTCTCTGAATTTCTATTTTCAAATATTTGAATTTCCAAGATTTTTAGTAAATTCACCAAACAATTTAGAGAAGTGATGAAGAGTTTCAACATTTCCTTGTCCGTATTCACTGTTTCTTTTTGCCTTATTAACTTTGGAGTAGTTGGAATGATGTGCATACATTGGAAAGGACCCTTGAGACTACAACAGGTTTTTTGTTCATTGTACTCATTCTTTACCTTTGTTGCAGCTGATAACCGATTGGTTTATTTTTTATCACTTCATACAAGCATACTTCTGCCATTTCTTTCAGTTTTATTTAATATCCATGTCAGCTTTAATGGCTCTTGTATTTATAAAGTATTTACCTGAGTGGACAGTATGGTCAGTATTGGCTGTGATTTCGATATGGGATCTGATCGCGGTTCTTGCTCCTAATGTTTGTCTTTAATATTTTTAGATTACTTTGCCTTCCTTTTTCTCATTTAGCTATAAACC